TCACAACCGCCCATGGGTTCTGTCCAGATGGTTCAAGGGAAAGGGCGTACTGTACGTGTTTTTCGCGCGTTGCGTGCGGGTGCGCGGAATAGCAACCGATTTTTAGCTGCGCAGGCCTGCTTTCGCAATTGCGCGACGCGTCTATCGCACGCGTTGCGGTCTTCCCTCCTTTCCAAAGCTACCGGACGTTTTATTAGGAGCCGGGCCGCTGTGATAGGAGGCCGGATCGAACACGAGTCGTCTGAGCCTCTCTAAGCCGAATTTTACACGAGCTTTGTATTTTCAGAGCGCTCTCTTCCATGCCTGTCGCCTGCCCGTCATGCTTTTCCTGCCTCTAGGCATCGCAATGTTCCAAGAAGCCCGAGTGTCCACGCAAAGGATTCAGGTTTGGTATACTATGAAGTCACAACAAGCCCGAATCCTGACAGCCAAAATCCCGAGAGGCAAATCTGACACACACAACCCTGACAGGCCATGATACATATTCCGGACAGTCGAGTCTCGCCGCTTTGACGATGACATCGCTTTGCTTTTCCGACCTGATTCAGTATTTTCGAAGACAGCGCCGGCTTTTTTAGTTAGCTTCGACTGCCGGGATTATCATGGGCCCGTCAGGTGTCGGAATTTGCCCATTTTGGCCGTCAGGATCCAGGCTTGGTATACCATGAAGCCGCCAACAGCCCGGAATCCCGACACAGCCAAAATCCCGAGAGGACAAATTCCGACACACATACTCCTGACAGGCCATGATAATCATAATCCCGACAGTCGAAAACCCTAACCTCAAAAACCGTACAGCAATGGTACCGACAAACAAAATGCCCAGATCCAAGGTCCGGAAAAGCTCTTGAAAAGCAAATGATATCATTCAGAAATGACGAGATTTCGGCTGTCGGAATCCTGACCTGTCGGGATTTTGGCTCACATTTAATCTGGACTGCCATAAATCCCAAAAAACGAAAATGTAAAAAGCAACGAAAAACGTTTTAGGCGTTCCTGGCGCTGGAAGATTTCCATCCGGTCGAACAGAAGCCCGAGATTCTTGAAAAAAGCGAAATCGCGATGGAACCGATAGGCGCAAATGCAGAACGCAAACCCTTGATCAGAAATGTAGTATACTCTTTTGAGCTTTTAAATCTCTGTTTTTTTAGGGCCAGTCCGAGCTCACCGAGCAGTGGTGTGAGTTGCAGCCCCACAACCCGAAAACGCTCGTCGAGTTATCCAACTACTCATCATCATGGGCCAGGCCGAATGTCAGTTCTGATTCCTTGCAAAAATCCGGTACTTTCGCATTATCGGGGGGTTACCAAATTTTGTATACACAGCCAGAAACTCCTAGTAACGTATTAGTAGTTATTTTAATCACGTCTTTGGTGAAAACTAACAATATTTATAGGAAAAAACTATGTTAAAACCCTTGCACGCCAATTTTTGAATTTTCCAATTTGAAAGGTAAAAACTAATTTAAGAATTTGAGACTTTGGTCGAAAATCGGCCATATTTGTTCGAAAAATCTAGATTTTTTCTAGTCTTAAAATGTGCAAAATTTGCGAGTTTAGAATACTGAGAACAGTTTTAAGCAGTTACAGTAATACCCCCGATAATGCAAAGTTTTGTAGGACATCTCGAAATTTGATTCCGACACGGCAACAGCAGTCCGAAACATTACGATGCACGCCGAGAAGGGCCAGTTGATCGGCATCATCGGGCCGGTTGGAGCCGGAAAATCATCCCTACTCGCCTCCAATCCTCCGGGAAGCTACGCGGACGGCTGGAAAGGTAAATTGGCGCTTACTGTAAAATCCCTACTCTTCAGCTCCGCGTGCACGGTACTGTCGCGTACTGCTCGCAGGACTCTTGGATATTCGGGGGTACTGTAAGGGACAACGTGCTCTTCGGCAACCCATTCGATCTCGACCTGTACGAGAAGGTGCTCGAGATGTCGGCGCTCAAGCAGGTAAGCGACATTTTGGAACCAACCCTCATTTTCAGGACCTCGCCGAAATCCCGAACGGTGATGCGAATCTTGTTGGTGATCGTGGACTCGCGTTGAGTGGGGGCCAACGAGCACGACTGTCACTGGCCCGTGCTCTCTACAGCCAGGTGCGTCATTTGTACAATTTCGTTCGGTACTGGACTGTTAGTGCAGGGGGCTATTACTTTCTGCTAATTTCGATCTGTTAATGATGATAAAGTTTGGCTTTTTTTTAATTTTATTTTTTAAAAATTTTTTTTTTTGTTTTTTAAAATGAGTTTTTTTTTTTTTTTTTTAAAAATTTATTAATATTTAAAAAAATTTAAAAAATAAAAAAATTTTTTTTTTTTTTTTTAAAAGGGGGGAAAAGTAGAAAAATTTTTTTTTGGTGGGGGGGGGAAATGATTTTTTATTATTAAAAGAAACGTATTTTTTTGTGGGAAAATAAAATTTTAAAAAAAATTTTTTTTTTTGTTTTGAATTTACCTTCCCCCCGCGATCAGCCCGGTACCATTTTCCTTAGGCGGACATCTACCTGCTCGACGACCCGCTGTCGGCTGTTGATGCTGCTGTAGGACGCTTCATCTTTGACAAGTAACTACATCAACGTCGAAAATCATAATTTTTAGATGCATCTGCGAGTACCTCCGCGATCGTGTCGTGATCCTCGTCACCCATCAACTCCAATTCATCGGCCGTGCTAACGAGATTCTTCTGATGCGCGATGGAGAGGTGGTGCTCCAGGGCACGCTCAAGCAGCTGAAAGAGTCCAATTCGAAGCTCGTCCACCAACTTATTCAGGTGCGTACATCGAAGATTTGTCAAGTCGGCACTTTTGCATTATCGAGACGGGTACGGGAAAAAAATTGGTCCCCCTATAATGCCAAGGCACCCGACGCTCGTTTTCCAGGAAACCACAAAAACCTACGCGGCTCGACGCTCTGAAAGCGTTGCTAGTGACGCATCGGCAGAAGAGCAAATGGACGATGCTGTAGAGGAGGTTTTTGAGGGAATCGGTAAGTGTTTTCGGTGGATTGAACATTCGATACTGGTCTGTTAACGAGGGGGTAGCGGTGTGGAACCAATCTGAGCCCGGCGTACCCATGCGAAATATAGCGCTGTTAGCACCATTTTAGCAACGTTCTTTTTAAATATAAAAACCCAAGATCAAACCGCAAAAGTCATCCCAGGATTTAAACGGAGCTGTACCCTGCTACAGTCCAGTGCCGAATAGTCGTTGTTTTAGCCAATCAACCACACGAGAAAGACCGCGAAATGGAAGCCGCCGAAGAGGAAGAGGAGGACCGTGCTGAAGGATCGGTGCCCTGGTAAATTCAGCTACACCCGGCTACCATTTTTTTGCCAGGTCCACCTACTGGCGCTACATCAAGGCGATGGGTCTCTGCTCACTCCTACCGGCCCTCGTGTTCACCATCGTCTCTCAAGCCGTCTTCAACCTGACCGATTACTGGTTGAACCTCTGGACCAACGCGGCTGAGCGGGCGATGAGGGCCGCGGGCAACAGCACCAACATCGATGACGTGCCGGAGGGCTTTACAGTATATTTTCGGGCCCTGCAACGGCTTTTTCTAGGACCGTGTCAAGCTGTTCGGGCTTCAAATGGACGTCAGTCTGGACATGTTCCTATGGGTTTTCGGGGTCGCCTCCGTCCTCGTCTCCATCGCATCTCTCATCAGGTAGGGATTCTACATCATGATAGATTAAACCACTATAAAAACCAGATTTTTGTGTGTTAGTGGGCATTTGCGCGCACGCCTCCGTAACGTTGTTCCGTACCTAGAGCCTTATGCATGCCTGTTTTGGATAAGGAAAAACGAGCTCTAGAAGAAAATTGGCCGGAACCCACTGACGAGTTTTTGCCCCGGCTTCTTATTGGCTTAACTCGTTTTAGGTGCACCTGGTTGCGGTATCTGGAAACGTTGGCCTCACGAAATCTGCACGCCGAAATGTTCCACGCAGTCGTCAACACGGAGCCCGAGTTCTTTGACAAAAATCCGGTCGGGAGAGTGAGTTTTAGCCAAATTCTGATAAAAATCTTGAAAATCGGATTTCGCGAATTGGAGAGAATGGACGAGAAAGGAGAGAGAGAGAGAGAGAGAGAGAGAAGAGAGAGAGAGAGAGAGAGAGAGAGAGTGAGAGAGAGGGCGAGACGAGAGAGAGTGTGAGAGGGGAGATAGCGAGAGATAGAGGGACAGAGAGAGAGGGATAGATAGAAAGAGAGAGAGGGAGAGAGAGTGGGTTAGAGAGACAGAAAGAGCGAGAGAGCGTGAGAGAGATAGAGAGAGATAGATAGAGAGAGCGAGAGAGAGATTTTCCCGGAAAAATCCGCAAACCCGACTTGCTCCACTCTATTCTATGGATGTTTTAGGTTTTGAATCGCTTCTCGAAGGACATGCACACGATGGACGAGTCATTGGCATTTGTGTTTTTCGAGTTCGTTCTGGTTGGTTTTTTAGCTCGGCACTAACCTTATTAATACAGGATTTTTATAGTCATTATTGATCTTTTTATGCGTACTTTCCAGGGTATGCTGGGCGTTCTCGGCACTGTCGGAGTCATTTTCCTGGCCAATCCAAGAGTCATTCTGCTCTGCCTTCCACTCGGACTCGTCTTCATAGTGCTCCGCTCAATCTACCTATCCACTTCCCGGGATGTCAAACGACTCGAGGCTGTTTGTACGTTTTTTGTTGTCGTTACAGCTTTCCTCAGCTCGTTCCCCACTTTATACCCACATCTCGGCAATGATGAACGGTTTGATGACGGTGCGAGCGTTCGGGAAGCGCGACAAAATCGAACAGGACTACCATGACAAAGTAGCAATTCTGCATTTTTTAGACGTCTTTTCAGATGAACATGAATTCGGCGGCCTTCTCGCTCTCGTTGACGACATCCCGATGGTTCGCCGTGCAAATCGACTGGATTGTCGCGGGATTCGTCTCTTTTGTGGCGTTTGCTTGTGCCTTTGCGTCCGGTAAGCACTTTCTTGTTCAGGCATAGGCTTAGGCTTAGCCTTGCTTAGGTTTCGTTAGGCTTAGCTTAGGCTTAGCTTAAGCTTAGCTCCTGGACACGTTTCATCATCATTTTTCAGGAGATTTCCTGCCCGGCGAAGTGGCGCTGATGCTCGTCTACGCCGTCCAGTTGACCGGCTTCTTCTCATGGATTATGCGCCAGTCGGCAGAAATGCAGAACGGGGTACGATGCGGGAAAACGTTAATGCTACCCATCCTTTAGATGGTCTCCGTCGAGCGGATACTGAACATGTGCGCGCTGCCATCAGAACACCTTGACAAAGGTCACATGCAGGTACTGCGTCCTTCTTCTCCTCTTGACTAACTGGTGCTTTAGACCCCATCCGGATGGCCGTCGAAGGGTGAGATCCGCTTCGACAACTTTTCCCTACGATACGACGACTCGTTGGCCCTGCGCGAAATCACTGCCAATATTGATGGCAACCAGAAAGTTGGTGTCGTCGGCCGGACGGGGGCCGGCAAATCTTCACTCCTCAAGGCCCTCTTCCGCATGAACAAGGTTTCGACAGGTGTGTCAGACTTCGGTAGTCATTGAGCTGATTTTCATTTCCAGGCCGAATCTTCATCGACGGCGTCGACATCAACTGCTTGCAGCTGCGCGAATTGCGCTCGCATCTCGCCATCATTCCGCAGGTTGGTGGAAAGGGGTTTTGTTAAAATCCCGACAGACATAATCTCGACAGAATGCCGACGAGCAGAAACCCGACATCCCAAAATCCCGACAGTCGAAATCCCGCAGCGCCAATCTCGACAGCGAAAATCCCGACAGCCTTTACTCCTGAAATCAATAATCTCGACAATCATCATCGCGACAGACACCGTCCATACAGAATACCGACAAGCCTTGAGATTTTGGCCTGTCGGGATTCTGGCCTATCCGGATTTCAGTTGTCGGGATTATGGTGATCGGGATTTTATCTTCCGGTATTTCGGCTGTCCTATTATGAATGACGGGCTTTTGGAGTTTCCCTGTTGAAAGCGAGCTTTAAGGGGACTATAAAGTTGAGAGACAAAAAACGGTTGCAGGAACCTGTTCTGTTCGTCGGTACTGTGCGGCGGAACCTCGACCCGTTCAACGAGTACTCCGACGAGGCATTATGGACGGCACTTGACCAAGTCGAGCTGAAGGTGTAAATTCAGGGTAATGGAGTTTAATCACTTTTAGGAGGCCGTCTCCGAGCTGTCCGGTACCCTACTTGCTGAGGTCCAAGAGGGCGGCGCCAACTTTTCGGTCGGGCAACGGCAGCTCTTCTGCCTGGCCCGAGCGCTCCTACGCAATTCAAAGATCCTCGTCATCGACGAGGCCACGGCCAATGTTGATCCACAGTATGATTTTAATTCGGGAGTAAAACAAACTATTATAGTACCGATGAGTTGATCCAAAAGACGATCCGCCGTCAGTTCGCCAACAGCACGGTGCTGACAATCGCCCACCGACTGCACACGATCATGGACTCGGACCGCGTGATGGTGGGTTTTGCTGATGCAAATTTTTCCTGAGCCTTGCCTAAGGAAAAGCCCAAGCCTAAGCTTCGCGCTGCAATGTTCCAATGCCCCTTTCCAGGTGCTGAAGGACGGGCGTCTGATCGAATTCGCGCACCCGTATGAGCTCCTCAAGAAGCCGCACTCCCAGCTCTCGGCGCTTGTCAAGGAAACGGGACGCGACACAGCCGCCCAACTGCTAGAAGTCGCCCGCCGCTCCCACGCAAACGCCAACCAAGCCGACGGAGCTGTTCCTCAAGCCGAGACGGTGCCGCGGGAATAGCCAAAGAAAATTCGAGAAGTCGAAAAAGTCGACGTAATTTAAGCCAGATCCACATGAAATTCCTAGGTGTTAAACTTTTGTATTACTTTATGGATGCTTCCTCCCGATCTCTGCTTTATGAAAGTTATTAAAAAGCTGATTTCCTTTTTCCCAAACCCCTAAAGGCCTTCATTCCCTTATCGAGCGGGTTGCTCCGTTTTTGGGTAGATCGATTATTCAAAAAAAATGGTACTGGACTGTTATCGGGGGTGATCATTGTTTGCAGTAAACTGGAAGCCCCGCTCCCCACCGGCTAATAGCCCAGTACCAGTTCAGTAAACCTAAAATTTTCCTACAAATTGTCCAATTTGTTTCAATTTTTGTTAATCTAAATTTGATAATTTCAATTGTTCCATTTTTCGTGAATTTTTTCAAATTGTGGGCTTTGCAGCAGGGTAGACTACCATACAATTTTTCTCACTTTTCTCCCCGGTGCACTAACCTGCTCATTCCATACGATATATTTTAATATGCTTGCTATGCCCCCCCCGATAATGCAAAAGCACCCATTTGTTTTTCCCATTCACTGCCATTGCCTTGTCCCTTTCGTAATGTTAATTTTTATTTAATTTTTCTCTGGTCCCGTTATCACATCAGGGGTCAATAAATCTTCGGCCGTACATTGTTCATTCAATACATGGAATCCTGGGTGGTAGAGTCGTCGTCGAGGCTGGATACGGTCGTTGCTGAAATTTGAATGCAATTTTTAGGACCTGCAACTTTATTACTAGGGACCTATTCTTTCATATATAACGATCCTAACTGAACAAATTAACCAAAAAATCTGAAAAGTTCTAAAATGTTGAAATTTTCGTTTAAATCGTTCATTTAATAAAAACCCATCGTAAGCAATTCATAAAAATTCATATTTTTTTTGGTTTTTAATAGAATATTGGAAGCCGAGGAATGGTATAAAACTGTGTAAAAATTGTGTCAATTTCCTGATTCAAAATGCCGAAATCACAATGTCGAACTTCATAGCGTCGAAATTCATAATGTCGAAATTGCACAATAACGAAATTTACATGAGCAAATTTCCCGGAATCCTGAGCAAAACAATGTCGGCATTCTGGATTTCGACATTATGGCATTTCACATTATGGCATCTCGAATTACGATTTTCGGCATTATGATAGCGACATTTGGATCCGTATAAGCTTTTGAAACTTAAGCTTTTGAAGACCTACATTGAAGCGCAAAGCCCATGAGGCCATCAATTCCAGGGATGCGACGGCGTATATCGGTGCAGTTACCCGAGGCTGCATCCGGGATATACCCTCCACAGCAGCACAAACAGTCTTTGCCAGTGCTGGAAAGTATTTGGTGTTCATTTTAGCTATTTTAGCGCTACCTGACGCAGTTCGTTCCGTGCAAAAGCTGGGCCAGGGTCTCTGCCTTGCCCCTCCTGTGGTCCATACCACCATCTTGCTCGCGAGGTAGAGGTGGGGGTGGTGGTGGCATTCCAGGTCCACCACGCCCACGACGTCTCTCGTCAAATTGACGATCCTAAAAACTTCAACCTGACTGGCCTCAACAAGTGCTCACCTGATCCCACGGGCTCCCACCGCGTCCTCCCTGCCTTTCATCAGACCGTCCACCCAGTCGTTCCCGCGAATCTGGCCCGAATCGACCGCCTCCACCTCGTCGGTCATCTCCTCCGCGTCCGTGTCCTCGCTCTTCCGAATCCTCAGAATCACCTCCACGTCCACCACGTCGTCCGATCGGCTCGTCGTTGTAGCGACGATCGCCACCTCGGCCTCCCTGTCGCTCATCAGATCCACCGTGGTGTCCTCCGCGTCCTCGACGATCATCATCATCAGGTCCGTAGCGTCCGTGTCCACCACGTCCGCGCCCTTCATCAGAATCCGGGCCGAACCTTCCACCACGACCTCCAGATCCGCCACGTCGTTCGTCAGAATCGGGACCAAAGCGGCCGTGTCCGCCCCGACGGTCATCTTCGGGTCTGCGGCCGCCGCGACCTCCAGGACCGGGTCGTTCTCCGGAATCGGGTCCGTATCCGCCTCGTCCTCCCGGTCCTCCAGGTCCACGTCGATCTCCAGAATCGGGTCCGTATCCACCTCGTCCTCCGGGCCCACGGCGATCGCCATCATCAGGTCCATATCCACCTCGTCCTCCTGGGCCACGTCGATCTCCAGAATCCGGCCCGTATCCGCCTCGTCCTCCTGGTCCTCCAGGTCCTCGTCTACCTCCCATCATCTGGTCATAACCGCCAAATCCGCCAAATCCACCGCGTCCACCCATCATTCCAGAGTCATCGCGGTACATTCCGGACATTCCGGACATCCGAGACTGTCCACCATATCCTCCATAACCACCCTGTCGCTGTTGACGCCCCACAAACTGCGAGTCCATCCCCTGGCCTCCTTGCTGTTGGCGCCACTGCTGGAATGGGTTCCGGCTTTGCGAGCTGCCGGTCCACTCGTCTTGCGCGGCCCACGGTCCGTTCCCTGAAAAATTCGGGTAGAAATCGTGATTCCGTTTGGATACCGTTGACAACGTCTTCTGAGCCCTACCGTGCATCCTCCGTCCGCTCTGCGATGGTCCCATATACGGGGGGATAATCGTCATCATTGTAGAAGCCGCTCTGCCGCTTCTTCCTGCCCATTCCCATCTCCATTTCCATCGCATCGTCATCGTCACTGCCGGAGAAGTAGTCCGATCCCATGCCGTTGTTGTTGTTGCTCATGGAGTGCACCATGTTCAGGGCTCCCTAGATTGTGTACGATTTTTGACGTGGATTTTGCCACACCTCGTGGTCCCCGTCCATCATCATTTTGTTGATCTTGTCCATGTGGTCTTTGTGGAGGAACACTGGGGTTGGGCATCCACCGTCAACCTGCGTCATCGAGCACGCCTTCTGATCGTCGCAGTCCGCGTCGATCGGACGGATTTCCTTGGTTCTGGAAGGCGGGATTGAAAACCTGTGTCTCGCCCTCGCTCTCACACTTTCTATCTCTCTCCCTCTCTCGCCCTCTCTCTCTCTCGCTCGCTGTCTGTCTTTCTCGCTCTCTCATTACCCACTTGCACTGTCCGTGAGGCTGCGGACGTCTTCCACCGCCCATTTGCATCCCGTTTCCGCCTCCCATCTGCATCATCACGCCATCTCCACCATCTCCTCCTTCGCGCGTCGCGTTTCGTGAGCGACATTCGAACGAGTGGCTACAGTATCCGCACTTTGGTGACGATCCGCGCTTCTGGTAGGCGGCCTGCAGCACCGAGTACACCTCCTTCACCTTTGCCTCGATGAACTGGAATCGACGGGATTAATTTGGATTCTGCAAAGGGGTATCTGCTGGCTTGCCCCAGCCTCTCAGCATCTTAAAGAACCTCTGCCAGCCTGCCCCACCAACCATGCTGAAAAAAGCTTTTTCTCCGTTTCGCAAAGAAGCTTTGCTAGCTTGCCTCTGCCTTCTCAGACAACCCAAAGGATCTTTGCTAACCTATGGCATGTCTCAAAATGATGCGGCCGTTCCCCCAAGGGCCCTTTCCTAGCTTGCCCCCGCCACCCAGACTCTGAAAAATAGTCGAGCCGCATCCCTAATGGCCCTTGCTAGCCCGCCGAGTTTTTTTTTGTAGATATCCTTTGGGAGTTTTTCAGACTCCCAAAGGATATCTGCTAGCTTGCTTCGCCCTCCCAGGCTCCCAAAGCGTCTCTGCTAGCTTGCCCGACCAATCAGGCTGCTAAAGGCTCTTTGCTAGCCTTTTTACGCTCCCATTCTCCCAAAGGATCTCTGCTAGCTTGCTCACCCTTTCACGCACGCAAAAGGTTTCTGCTAGCTTGCCGAAAGCCTCAAGCTCCTAAATTTCCCAAAGGATCGGTAGTAGCATACCTGCTCTTCAAGGTTCTCAGGAGAGCTCTGCTGCTTGCCCTAGCCTATCTAGCTCCTGAATGGGCGGTCGTTGCCTACAGATTCTCTGCTAGACTGCCTGCCCTCCCAAATTCCTGATGCCGATCGTTGCTGGTCCTTAAGCCGACGTCATTTCCTCCAAAAATGAAAATAGGCGGTCAGGCGGGGGGTGGGGGGGGGGGTGGGCAATGACCACCGCCGGCCAGTCCGTCTATTTGCTAACTGCAAAATCAAGAAACCCCTCTACTTTGGGTTGCCTATCTTCTCTGCGGGCGCCTAACTTGTTCCCCCTAACCGCTTGACCCCCCGATGATCTTGGCCGACTATTTACTAGTTCGAAAAGGTGGGCCCTGATCACTGCAGCATGTTCCGAAAAGCTGAGGCATTTCGAAATTGGATTAGGGTGATCAGCTGGTTTATAAGAACTTTCAAGGAAGGGAGAGTGAGAGAGCGAGAGAGAAATAGAGAGAGCGAGAGAGCGATACAGAGAGAGAGACAGAGAGAGAGAAAGCTCGTGTATCCAGATATACGAAATCGACCCCTTGAACCGCCTAGGTATCGACAACTGCGCTCCGCACCAAATGGCGCCTTCAACGTTTTCTGTTGTTTTTGCGTAGCTTTTTGCCTAGATTTTCTAGCTTTTAGAGGCCTGATACACGCGTCGTTGGGTGAAACGCGCGGCTGTCTATAACTAGTTGACCGCAGGGGTCGTTTAACGGTGTTTCTAGCGCCTTTAAAGCTAAATTTTAAAGGCTTTAGACGAGAGACAAGGTGCTTTGACTATTTGAAGGAGAGAATGACACCCATTGCAAATTTCTGATCTCTTGACCTGCTGCAACACGGCGGGCACCTTCTTGGGAAGCGTGATGTTGGTGCATTCCTGGGGCAACGAAGTGAACTCCTGGTCAGGCCACCAGCATTTCACCTATAACATTTGGTTACAGGGGGATTTTAAAGGGGGCTGAGAAGGCTGAAAAATCCAGAGTAGGGTTAGAGTACGGCACCTGCTTCCAGTCGCTCCACTTTCCGCACTGATCACGGTGGCGGTGACGGTTTGAGTCGGAGGCCGAGTCCATGGAAATGATCGTCATCAGCGAGGCACTCGGATCGAGGATCTGAAATTTTTGAGTTAGGTTTATCTCGTTCTCGCTCTTTCTCTCTCTCTCACCTGCATAGCAGATCCAGCTCCTCCCTGTCCTCCTTGAGCTCCTCCTCGTTGACCCTGCCCTTGTCTTGGGCCCATCTGCTGTGATCCCTGCATTTCACTATTTTGTCCTCCTTGCTGAGGCCCTCCAGCTCCTTCCCTTCTGCTCTCCTGATCCATCGTGGGTCCTCCAGGGCCTCCTCTCTGCTGTTGTTGTTGCTGCCCGAGGACCGCCACGGCCGCTAGGGCCAGCAGCAGTGAGCGAAGCATGGCTAGAAATGGAGGAAATTCAATGGAAACTTATTAGAAAGGCAGAAAAACTTTTAGAATAATAAAGAATAAAAGTAATTAAGAATAACAAAAATTAAGAAATAAAAAGAAAAATGCAAGGAAATACTAGATGGAGAGAGAGGGAGCGGAGAGAGAGAGAGAGAGAGAGAGAGAGAGAGAGAGAGGAATATGAAGCCCATGAATACCCAAAAATTAATGCTTCTGTCGTCATTTGTAAGAAAACAAACTAAAAACCACAAATTTTTGAAAATTTTAAGATTTAAGATTTTCCTGTCAAGTTAGGGCAGCAGCCAATGCCTAGAAAAATCACTTTCAAAAATATGGTAGGTATTTGAGGGTCAACATCATGTCAAAAGAATTGACCCACCCACCGACCACTTCTCCCCTTCCAGCCGACTCTCTCTCACGCTCTCTCTCTCTAGGACCAACCACCTTGAAAATATTTGTTTTCTGTGGAAATCAGTTGGGGAAAGGAGAGAGTGAAACGGGTAGCGAAAAATGTGAGGCATGGAATTAATAAAAAACGGTCAATACTGGCAATGTAGTTCTAACGCGGTGAATTCGAAATGACTACCAAAAGGGATACTAAAGAAACCGTTTGGGCGAGAGAGCGAGAGCGAGAGACATCTAGATAGAGAGAGAGGGAGAGAGAGAAAGAGAGTGAGAGAGAGAGAGAGAGAGAGAGAGAACGAGTCAGAACGATAGAGAGGTCCCTTGAACGAAAGCTATAGGGACAGCCAAGCCAGAAAGAGAGAGCGACAGAGAGAAAGAGCTGCTAATTTAGCCAAAACACGTCCTGCTCTTTGTTTACAAAATCGGCGTTAAGCCTGAAAAGGCCATTAAAGCTACCAAGTCATCAAAAATCCCTTTTTTGCATACTTGAAAAATATGACTGATCGTAATAGATACGTAACCAAAAATGCAATAGGTTGGGAATATGAGGTTAAACGGCTCGAACAACTCGTCGGATCCAAAAATAAGAGGCCTTCTAAAAGTAGCCAAACCTTTAGAAATAAAAACCCGAGGTATCGCTGCCCTGCTGATCATCCACCGCCACCAGCTCGTTTTATATCGGCATCAAGGGCGATGCGGATGTTGGGCACGGCTCGGGCTCACCGTCTATTTACCCGCCGGTATCTGTCTGTCTGTCTGTCTGTCCGTTCGACTCTCTGTCTGTCTGATGCCCCTCGTTCTTCAAGCGCATGGTCGGGTTAGGGCCCCTCCCACCGTCAGTTAGCGGTGGCCCAAAGAGTTCACCGGTGCGGTCGACACAAAATCCGACAAAACAACGGCCCCGAGCAGGACACTCATCCATCGACCGGTTGAGGGGCTGACAAGTGATGCCAGTCATCCGCTGGTGAAGCCATCCGTGAAGCGGTGGCCATTTTTTGACCGTGCATCTGCAACGGATGCGGTGGGCTTGAAATTTCAGCGTCCTTCACGCGATGCCGAAAAATACCCAAAATGACCTTGAAAATAAAGCCCCTTGAAAATGCCGAAAAGATGCGCAGGCAAGCTATCAAAGACCCTTGGCTGATGCATTACTGGCCCTTTATCAAATTGCAAATAATTATGGGCTCGATTCCAAAAATTTGAAAGGTTATCCGGAGTAACTGTAATAATCTACAATCTGGGCTGGTACCAAAGCTCGAAAATACCCCCATAGTTGGCATCTATGACCCCCCTATACTTCATATATACCCCCTATAGATCATCTATACCCCCAAACTTCGGAAGCGGGATTTCCCGGAAAAATGTCCGGTTGTCGGTCCAAAAAATTGGGCACATATAGAGCGAAAGTCCC